GAGGCCCGGTGGGCGGTTGGGTGGATTGGCGGGCAGGGCCTGCGACTGCCTCCACATCTGGCCAAGGGCGGGCGGCCTCCCTCACACCTCCTGTCCCCACAGACGTCGTGTTCTTCATCTACCTCTACCAACGGTGGATCTACCGCGTTGACCCCACCCGTGTGAACGAGTTTGGCATGAGTGGAGAGGACGTCACGGCAGCCACCCCTGTGCCCCAGGCCCCCACGACAGCAGGGGTGCTCACATCTGCGCCTGCCACCACAGCCAGCAAGGAGGCCACCCAATCCGAGCCCCAGGAAGCCCCTCCAAAGCCAGCAGAGGACAAGAAAGAGGATTAACCACCGTGGTCCTCCTTGTCTCTTCCGGCTCCTGGTGACCACACCCTGCCTCCCTGGCCCACTTACCTCCCTTCCCCTGTGGCCCTTTCCCTGGACAGATCAGGCCGGGCGGTGGGAGATGCCCTCGGCCAGGGCCCGGCATGTGACGTGGGGGCCAGGGAAGGCCAGGCTGGCTGTTAGTGGAGGTGCCTTCTGTCCGCCTGTCCCTGTGTGTCTCCAGCCATTCGCCCTGGCCCCCAGCACCACTGGGAATCATGGTGACGTGGACTCGGCGCTGTGGGGGGCCGGGCAGGGGAGGGGCCGGGGCCGGGGCCGCCTTCGGTCATCCATCATCTTGTCCCTTGCCCCCGACCCCTCCTCCCAGACCGCCACCCTTTAACACAGTCTGGATTTAATAAATTCATAGGGGTGTTTAACTTAAACTCAACCGACCGTCCTCCGCCTGCCTTCCTTGCCTGGAGCAGCTTCAAAGGGGGCAGGTGGCTCTGCTGTGGGAGGGAGACCCACAGGTACAAGTCATGGGATGCTGGGACAGTGGCCTCTGTTCTCACTCCCTCCTGCCTACTGTCCTCAGGGGGCTCCCCAAATAGTCCCCATTCCACAGACCCTGGGGTGCCAGGAGCCTTGCATGTGTCCCATGCCACCAACAGCCCAGGAGCGTGGGTTGCACAGGCCCAGTTCATGAGTGCAGCGGCTACCACCCGAGGCTTGTGTTTCACCTCTGGCTTCCTCCGTGAGCACTGGCACCTGAATGGGTGCCTTCGCTCCAGCATCTGGGGATGGGCGAACCCCAAAGGCACTGTAGTGCCCCAAAGGAATAGGGTTGTCACTGGCACCAAGGACCCAGCCAGGCTGTCAGCAGGTGGCCCTTGTGGTTCCCTGGCCCCTCCCAGCAGCAAGGACTGTGCACCTACTCTGCAGGTGAGGTGATGGCGGCCTAGGGGCTGGGAACCCCACATCCCAGATTCATTTTCGGGGTGGTCTTATGTGCCCTGCAGATGCCCCACTCTTGTCAGCTCCAAGTGCCACCCACCCTGCAGAGCCAGGTTGGGAGAGAGGTCCCTGGGGGATGCGGGTGCTTACGGAGCCCAGGTGTATGACACCCTCACTCTGCCTGCTCTGTGTCACCTCACTTCATGGCTCCCCACTGCCCTTGGAGAAGCCCCAGGCTCGGCAGCATGGCTGTGCAGGGCCCCTAGGAACCCAGGTGGGGTGCACAGGCAGGCTCTAGATGGGTGCAGGCGCTCAGGCCACCCTGACTCACAGCCCCCATTGGCCCTGGCTCCTCCTCCCACAGCCCCACCCCCAGGCCTCTGGCAAGGCCCCATAGCTACACTCCTGAGTTGCCCCTTGGCTTCCCCCAGAGCAGCTGGGGCAGGCTCCCCACCTCTGCGGCCTCACCCAGCCTCCTCCCTGGGCTCCTGGCACTCCCACGCCATCCAGCAGCTGAACACCTCTCTCTTTTTTTTTTTTTGTGGCACTGAGGATTGAACCCAGGGCCTTTTGCACTGAGTAACAACCTAAAAGCAGCCCTTTTTTATTTTTACAGACAGGGTCTCATAAGTCACTAAGTTGCCCAGGCTGGGCTCAAACTTTTGGTTCTCCTGCCTCAGCCTTCCAGAGTGCAGGGAGTACAGGTGTGTACCACCACACCTGGCTAGGACAATCTCTGAAGCACAAAGCTGCCAGCCATTGTGGTGCATGCCTGTAATCCCAGGACTCAGGAAGCTGAGGCAAGAGGTTTTCCATGAGTTCAAGGCCAGTCTGAGCTCCATAAGGAGACCCTGTCTTAAAAAAGAAAAAAGTTTGAGGCCAGCCTGGGCAACTTAATGAAAGCTCATCTCAAAATTTAAAAAAAAAAGGTACTGAGGATGTAGCGTAGTAGTAGAGTGCCCACCTACCCTGCACAATGCCTTGGGTTTCATCTCCAGCACCCCTTCTGCCCCAAACCTGACACTGGCGATCCCCTGCCCAGAGCCTTCTGTGACTCCCTGTTGTCCTCCGGAGAAGAGTGTAGGCTCCTGACTGGAGAGAACGTCTACCTCTTAGCCCTCCAGCCTTGGCACCCCACTGTGGCTGCACACAGCCCCCCAGGCATGCTCCCAGGGCATGCACCCTGATCTCCAGGTCCTTGGGCTCTCAGGGCAGCCCTGCCACCCTGGGTCATCACAGTAAGGCAGTTCAGTCTTCCTCCACTGGCCTTAGACCTGTGAGGATACAGCCAACGCTGCCCTGGTGACTGTCATGTTCTCAGCCCCTCTGGTGCATGTGAGCCGTGGTGACATTCACAGAGCCACAGACATGTCCGGAAACGGCGTTTTGAGGGGTGCACATGGGACACAGCAGGGAGAGACGACACACAGCCTGAAAATGCTCTCTCAGCAAGGGTACCTGGGCTAGGGCTTCTGTGTTCACAGCTGGGACCAAGACCGGCCCAGGCTGGCCCTGGTGAGCTCATGGCCCGGCAGGAGTCAGGAGGATATCTGACTGACGTGTCCTTCAGTTATTCACTCAACAAACTTTATTATTTATTTGTGGTACTGGGGATGGATCCTAGGGCCCTGTGCCTGCAAGTGCTCTACCACTGAGTTCCATCCCCAGCCCAACCTTTATGAGACTGGAAGCAGCAGAGGGCAATCAGGTGGGCTCCCGATCTATCAGAGTCACTCTTTGTCACTCCTGACCATGAGCCAAGCTCTAGTCTGAGCACTGTATGTGGTCTGCTGTATCCATTAAACTTCACATTACTGTGTCCCTATCACCTTGGAGGCCACCATTCTGGCCTTCCATGCCTCCCCAGCAGTAGTCACTGCTACTTCAGGTCCCTTGCTATTCCTACCTCAGGGCCTTTACACTCGCTGTGGCTTGAACATGTGTCCTCAGATACCCACATGGACCCCTCTCCTTTAGGTCTCTGCTCAAATGTCCTCTCCTCCAACCCTCAAACTCCAAATTCAATTCATATTTCCTGTTTTATTCTTCTGTAATCCCATCACCACCACACATCTTTGCTCATCTATGTTCCAGCTGTCTCACTTGGATTTAGGATCCTTGGTGGCAAGGGCTTTTGTCACAGACCTATGGACATGAGCAGAAACGTGGGCTTTGAGGGATGTACAGCTTTTGATTGTTTGGTATTGGGGATCGAACTCAGGTCCTTGCGCTTTCAAGGCAGGCAGCGGAACCACTGAGCTAAATCCCTGGCCCTGTGTACAGCTTTTGAATAGTGCAGGACACTGTTACACTGTAATAATTCTGTAAATTGAATGTTTACAACAATCCCCTGAGGTATGGTTGTTTATCCCCGCCTAGCAGATGAGAAAACTGAGGCCTAGAGAAATGGAGGAATTTGTCCAAGGTCGCAAAGTAATGTGACAATTATTTAGGACTTAAAGTGGTTAGGACAGTGCCTGGCACATGGAAGAGCTATACTGTATACAAGTGTCACCTATTACCTTATTTAATCTTCATGACCATCCTATTTTCAGATCCACCTTACAGCTGGAAAACAAATTCAGAGAGATGAAGTCAGTTGCCTGAGGTCACACAGCTGTTGAAAAGGCCGAGGCTTTGAACCCAGACAGTGATTCTAGACCCTCAAATCACAACCTCTGGCAAGACTCCTTTTTGGTTTTGTTTTGAGACAGGGTCTCTCTGTAGTTCAGACTGGCCTCAAACTCACTATGGAGCTCAACCTGGCTTCAAACTCACGGGGATCCTCCTGCCTCAGCTTCCCCAGTGCTGGGATTGCAGGCCTGCGCACCACACCTTCAGCAAGACTCTTGCATTATGCAGAACACAGCCTGAAGGCCAAATACAACATGCCACCTGTTTTTGTGTGACGTTTTACATTTTTAAGTGACTGTAAAGATCTAAAGAAGAATGTCGGGCCAGGGCTGGTAGCTCAGTGACACCGTGCCTGCCTGACAAGTGCAAGGTCCTGAGTTTGATCCGTGGTACAAGAAAAAAAAAATACCAAAAAGAAAAATTTGAAATTCAGTTAAAGCTAAATGCAGTGGTAAAAAAGAGCAGTGATTTTCTAATAAAAAAAAAAATGCCAGGCATGGTGGCACACACTTGTAATCCCAACAATAGGGAGGCTGAGGCACAAGGATCAAGGCCAGCCTGAGCTATATAGTGAGTTCCAGGCCAGCTTGGACTACAAAGAGACCTTGTCTAAAAAATATATATATACACAGTGATCCTTTTGTGGTTCATAAACATGATGGTGAGTTTTCACCCCATGCTCTAAGTCTTGCCTCCCTCCACCCAGCCTTGTTACATCAGACATCAGCACATTACCCATCTGGCAAGAAGAAAAAAGAATATAGTTTCACATGAAAAATGAAATTCCAATTTCAATATCCAGAGAATAATATTTTATTTGAGCGTAGTCACACCCTGTACTATTTTTGTCTGTTTTTGTGGGATAGCAGAGTGAAGATCCCCTGGTCCTCAAAGCCTGAAGCCTAACATATATGCTATCTGACCCTGTGTAAGAAAAAGTTTTCTTTTTATGTTTTTTTGTTTGTTTGACAGAGGATCTCACTAAGTACTCCAGACTGGCCTTGAACTCATGGTGATCTTCCTGTCTCAGCCTCCTGAATGTAGGGTATACAGGTGTGCACTACCACAGTTTGCTCTTTATTTTGCTCTCTGCTAGTAGTTGTCCAGCTTGAGTCATCACAAGATGCCCTCAGACTGGAGACCACGTTGGGAGAATCGCTGCTGTGAGCACGCAGCCAGCGGAGTCCTGAGCCCGGGTGAGTGTGGTGCCCAGTATGTGTATGTTGAATGGATCAATGAGGCCACGTGGACCACGAAGAGGTGCGACTCCAAATTTTATACAGGCAAACAGGGAGGATGCCAAAGTCTAGGATCCTTGGCCTCTCAAGTTAGTCTTGGATGTCATTCTCAGGAACACAGGAGGCTTAGGAATGTGATCGAGCCAACGGCTGCCCCTCTGAGCCTCATCCACCTCCCCAAGAGTCCCAGTCCTAACACTTGTTCTTCAGGTGAGCCACCTGTCCCTGGCTTGGGCACACTGCTGCATACACACGACGGGGCCACACTATCAGCCACACTATCAGGCTCAGTTACTGAGCTTTGGGCTGGAAGCGCTCTGGGCTACGAGGTACAAAATAATAAATACAGCGTCCATCCACTCACTCCAAAACATCCACGGGCACCCACTCTACTGTTCTGAGCGCTGGGGACTCAACTGACCAAACAGGAATCTACATTCTGACAGTATAGTTTTGAGCGTTGGTTAAATATCTTCATCCCTTATTTACAGCGGAAGAGACCGAGGCGAGGAGCGACCTTGAGGGTTTGGTGAAGATCCCTGTCATCAATGGCAACAGCAGGGGCCTGGAAACTTCCCTCTCTGAAGCTTCCCTTCAGCCTGAGAGACAGCAGGTTCACGTCCTACTGGGAGAGCGAGCAGGTGGGGCCTCAGTTTCCTGGCTTGCTCAATGGGTCGGGCAGGAGCGGCCCTAAGCAGCCCTCAGCTGTCTCGGCCCCAATACTGGGCAGAGATGCGCGCCGGCCCCTGCACAGAGCCCAGCCTCCCCTTCCCGGCCGGCCCGCCCCCAAAATCACGTGATGCGCGGGGTTTTCCCATTCCCCTGGCGTGACGTCACGAAGGGGTGCAGGCCAATGGGCGCTCAGGCCGGTGGCGCCGGGGAATTCCGCCGCCCCGCCCCCTCCTGCCGCCCGCCCGGCCCGGCCCGGCGCCCCCCGCAGCCCCGGGCGCCGCGCGTCGTGCCCGGCCTGCGGCCCCGGCCTTGCGCCGCTCGCCCGACCCGCGGACGTCCACTAGCCTGTGCCGCCCGGCTGCCTGGCGTGCCCGCGTGCGTGCTTCTGTCTGGGCCGGCCTCCGGGCCGTCTGCCTCCACTGGCCGGGCCATGCCGAGTCGCCGCGTCGCCAGACCGCCCGCTGCGACGGAGCTGGGGGCCTTGGGTAAGCGGAGTTGGCGTTCAGGCGGGGAGTCTGGGACGGGGCTGGGGATGTGGGAGTTCTGGGGATCCCGGAGTAGTCTGGGGGCTCCTACAGGAGCCCAGGCATTTCTCGGGGAACGTGTGAGCGTTGCGGGTGTACTGGAGGGGCGGGAGGAGGCAGAGGATGGGGAAGGGTCCGGCCTGTGGCACAGGCGAGGCGTCCAGCTGTGGAGTGAGGAGGGGGCGGGGCCTGACCCTGAGGCAGAGAAGGGGGCGGGGCCCGGCTGCCAGAGGGTGAAGAGGCGGGGCCTGACTCGGAGAAGGAGGAGTGGGAGCGGCTCCAGAGGAAGAGAGGGTCGGGGCCAAGCTTGGAGGAGAAGAGGCGGGGCCTGGCTCACAGAAGGGGCGGGGCACGTGCCTGAGGCTGAAAGGAGGCGGGGCTGAATACGAAGAAGCGGAGCCAGACTCAGAGGTGTGAGGGGGCGGGGCCTGGGGTGAGGGGGCGGGGCTCAGAGGGGCAGAGAGAAGGGGAAGGGCCCTTTCTGAAAACTGAAGGGCGGGACCTGACTCGGAGAATGGGGAAGGTGGGGCTCGCCTGGAGAGGGACAAGGGGCGGGCTTGACGGCGGGAACATGAGGGAGTCGGGCGTGGCGCTGGGAGAAGGGGTGGGGGCTTTCCTAACTGAGGTTGTGAAGGGGTCCAAGATGAAGGGTAGGGTGAATGGCAGGAACCAGAGTTAGGGAAGGAGATGTGGCGGTCCCGCCGGTGGAAAGGGGGAGGGGCCTGACCCAGGGGGCAGGGCTAGAAGAGCACCCAGGTGGGGACCCCCTGAGACCCGAGTTCCTCTCGCAGGGCCTGCTGCTGCTGACCTCTCCTCGCTCCCGCTGGCTACTGTGTCCAGGACCGCAGGTGAGCAGCAGTGAGGGATGGGGTGGGGAGCCCCTGTGGAGACGCCATTGGGCAGACCTCTGTCTGGGGGATTTGCCGGGGTCCCTTTCAGTTTTCCTGTGATGGCTGTGTCCCTTCCTGCCTGCTGAGACGGCCCCCTAGGTGTCCCTACTTCCTGAACAGTTAGCTTGACAAGTAAAAGTAACCAGATGCTGGCATCTAAGAGGACTCCCGAGGCGCAGTCGAGTAAGGTTATGACTGCCATCTTGGCCTTTACCGCTGCCGCCGCCACTCATCCCCCCTCCAGTGTCTGCAAGTCGCTTCCCCAATCGGTGCCTCCGTTGTCCTAGTCTGTCAGGTGTGCATAATATCGGTGACCACTTTACGGGAATGGTTGGGAGGATTCAATGAGTTGATACAAGTTAACTTGCAAAGCAGGGTCTGGCATCCAGTAGAGACTCTTAAGAGTTAACTGCTAGTGGTGTAATCTAATGGTAATAATAACTAGCATTAGCATATAACATTAAACAGTATCTTTTTGTTTGTTTTTTGAGACAAGGTCTCATTCTGTAGTCCAAGCTGGCCTAGAACTCCCTGCGTAGCCCAGGCTGGCATTGATTGGACTCATGAGCCTCCTGCCTCAGCCTCCCTAATGCTAGGAACACAGGTGGTCACCACCACGTGGTAATGAAGCTTATATCATTGGTTCTTTAAAAACCAAAGACAGGGCCAGGGATTTAGCTCAGCGGTTCCGCCACCTGCCTCGAAAGTGGAAGGACCCGAGTTTGATCCCCGGTACCAAAAATAAATAAATAAATAAAAACCAAAAACAGGGCTGGGGATGTAGCTCAATGGTGCCAGCACCTGCCTGGCAAGCAGAAGGTCCTGAGTGCAATCACCGGTAAGGAAAAAACAAACAAAAGAAAGTGGTACAGAGGATTTATGAAAGCAAACTGTCAGGCCCTACTTCTGGAGTTTCTGATTCAGTACCTGAATCAGGTGGGCCCTGAGAATTTGTACTTTTAAAAAGCTCCCAAGAGATGCTGAGAATGCCTGGTCTGTAAAGAGCTCTGAGCAAACAATGACATCTTTTCTCTCATCAGTTTGTTGGGATTTGGAAGGCAAGGTGAGAGTCCTACTGTGAGTGGCCCCAGATAGCTGAGTCCAGGGTCCTCTCTGGAAGGAGAATCTGGATAGATCCCCAGAAATTCTGCCAAGTGTGGTGGTACATGCTTAGAATCCCAACACTCATGACAAGGTCTCGCTATATAGCCCAGGCTGGCCTTGAACTCGGGAGACAACTGAGGCAGGAGGATTGAAAGTTCAAGCCCACCCTGGGCAGCTTAGCAACTTAGTGAGCCCCTGTCTCAAAATAAAATAATTTTAAAAAGGTTTGGTTGCTCATCACAAAGGCTCTGGGTTCAGTCTGGGGGTTGGGGTGCTGGGTTGGCCATTGAGGAGGCACTGCAGCTTCCACAACAGGTCTGAAGGTTTGCATGGTGGTTACGAGATGGTTAATGGCAGCAGGGATAGATGTGACCCACACACTGGTTCCAGGCAGAAGCAAGGCTAAGACTATGTGCCTGACACCAAGAGACCAAGGTATTTGGTTTCGAGTGGGAGTAATTCTGACATCATCTATTTACTAAATATTTATTGAGCACCTGTTGTATACCTGGCCCTCTGCTGAGCAGAGCTGGGGCCGTAACAGTGGCAGAGGTAGGCCCAGTCCTTCCCTGGTCAGGTTCCCTACTTAGATGGGGAGGCAGATATGTTTTTGGGGTTTTTTCTTGGTCCCACAGATTGAACTCAGGACCTTGTGTTTTTGAGGCAAGTGGCAGTACCACTGAGCTAAATCCCCGGCCCTGGAGGCAGATATTTAAACAATAAATGTGGGATTATAAAACCTAATAGGGGCTATGAAGAAATCTTGGGGCTAGTGATGTTTAATAGTAGGGTGGAGCCAGACATGGTGGTACACACCTGCTATCCCAGCACACTGAGAGACTGAGGCAGAAAGATCACAAGTTTGAGCACAGCCTGGGCAACTTAGTGAGTAACTGAATCCCAAGCTCTGAAACTGTGCCTTCTTCCAACTTCCCCATTTTGTAGACTGACAAACCAAGCCCTGGAAAAGGAGAGAGATGACTCAATTCCATGAAACAGTGTTTCCCAACACCTTGTCCCACAGCAGCCAGCGTTTATGGGGTGCCTAACACCTGACAGTTCTAAGTCTTCCACACACCAGTTTTGAAAATTACTTAAGCCCAATGAGGTAGGCATTGTTATTGTGCCTCTTTCCTTCTTCTTCTTCTTTTTTTTTTTTTCTGGTACCGAGGATCGAACTCAGGACCTTGTGCTTGTGAGGCAGGTGGCAGAACCACTGAGCTAAATCCCCCGCCCTCTTCTCTTTTTTTTGAGACAGGGTCTCACTGTGTAGCCTAGGCTAGCTTTGAACTCATGGAGATCCTTCTGCCTCAGCCTTATGAGTGCTGGGATTACAAGCATGCACCACCATGCCTGGCCTATAACTAAGGGCCTGCTGGGATTTTTTTTTTTTTTTTTTGGAAACAGGGTGTCACTATGTAGTTCAGGCTGGCCTTGAACTCACTGCAATCCTCTTGCCTCAGCCTCCTAAGTGCTGAGATTACAGGCGTGCACTACCACACCAGGTTTGTTGTCCCCATTTCATAGATGAGGAAACCAGGCACAAGAAGATTTAGTAATGAGCTCAAGACATTCAGCTAGCAAGTAGCATTGGAATGGAAGCCATTGGTCCCGAGGCCCAGCACTGCTGCCCAGGACTTGGCCTCCCTCCATAGCCGTGGAGTCTCTTGGGGGCCCTCGTTTAACTTGTCCTTGGGTCCCCAGGTCCATCCAGCACAGGTGTCTAGGAAGGATTTTCCAAGTCCCCTCCTTTCCCCTGGTCTCAGTATCCCTGCATCATAGCGGGGACTGTGGCAGGCTCTGAGTTCAGTGTCACATGTGATGGGGCTGAGAGACTGGCAGAGTTACCCAGGGGCAAAGTTCTGGCTATGGGAGCCACTCCCTGGTGCATGAAGGGCAGATCTGGCTGATCTTGGGGAGGTCCTCACTGTGCAGCCGCCCTGGGTGGGGCTCAGCTGGGTTGTGCTTCTCTGCTGTGTGACTGCGGCCTGGCCGTGTCCCTCTGGGAGTCCCCTTGTCCTGCCTGTGCAATGACGGGAGGTTGGTTTCGGCTTCTCCACAGCCCCTCGAAGGGCCCAGTTTTACGGGGGAGGGGACAGAGGGCTTCCCTGAGGACATGGCTGTCACTCCTTCTGGGATCTGAGATGGGCACCTGGGGACTAGGCCGGGAGGCACACACAGCTCTGGGTTCAGAAGAGCAGCACCCTCAGGTGACAGCAGCCAGTGACCTTTTCCTGGTGACAAGACCCTTTGCTTTTCCACGATACCCACCATGTGCTTCATGACCCTTGGTCTAAATGTTTTGGTGGAGCACTCCCTGATGCTGGGTCCCCAAGGTCAGGGGCTGAAGGGACATGGTGGTAGGAGCGGACACCCCAGCACATCATCCAGGGTTCCCAGGATGGAGGAAGCTAGAAGGGCTGCCAGGGGGATGGGGTTGGGGAATCTGTCTTGAGCGTGACAAGTCCTGACCCCCT